CAAAAATGAATGTTTTCTTTGATGAAAAAACCCGCTATGGAATTTGCCCCGGCGTTCGATCTCAAATCAGTATCACACTGGTGTTCAAATGCGAATGTGGTTAGTAACAACTGTGGAACCCAGCCTTCAATCATGTCAGTATTTTGAAATTCCCAGAAAAAAAGTGGTACGGACAATTCGTGACTATCATTAAAGGTATTGATCCGGAATTTGATAGATATGCCGTAGTGTGGTAACGGCATCCTGTAATACCACCCGGTTTTTACAGATGAGTTCCAACCTAGGTCATTCTAACATCCTACCGCTCTTCTTCTTCTTACAACTTGTCACTCATATGCCTGAATTGCCTGAATACAAATCTTACACCAAACTAAAGCCAGTCACTAAACTAAATCAGTGGAGGCCATTTAAATGTTTCAATGGTTTTTAGGGTAAAGTACTTCTCTTACCCTACTTCGCAATGAATGCCACTTGCAATCTATTAATATAGCTGCATTCTGAACAACTTGAATAGAGAAGTTACGTACAATTCCATTTTCCTTATGAAAACCGTGTAGCAGTCTTTGTCCTTCTCATTGCACATCTTGCCAACTTCTACTTCCCTGAAACAAGGAGCATACCAGATCTTTGACATACTAACTTTCATTTAGGGACATCGAGGTTCTCTCCATAGAACAATATTGGAGGCCTTAAGGCTCCGTGGTGGGTGGAGCCCACTCGAAATGGGCGGGTTTTGCTTTGTTTTCCCAATCACGCAGCTCGGACGAGCTATATACATTTGGGAACAATTTTAATGGAAACTTTTCCGTGCATGATATATTTATTAGAGCAGTAAATTATTGAAGGGATTTGACAGAATTTTCGCTTGCACAGAAGCCTTTCCTACTCTGAAGATGAGGAAAGAATATTCCTCCCGAAAAGGTAGCTTCCGCCCTCATATTTGTACAACTACATAGAACTAACCTGTCCCCCACTTCTGTACATTTTTGTCCTTCGACAATGGAGAAGATGCTCTGAAATGCACTCAATCAGTCTTATAAAACCAGTGTTGAGAATCCTCATGGGAAAATAGTGAAATGAAGTTCCTACAGCGTTCCGATTGGGGCTGTACTATTCAAACCTTAATTTCTCAAGTAAACAATACCCGATCAAAAAGTTGCCAAACTATATCTGAACGGATATTTGGTTCGTTCAGAATTTACCAGGATTAAAACACCTAGATTAATATGAGTAAATATCTTACAAGTGTGACGACGACGATGAGGGCAGGCAACATACGCAATACTGTGGTTTGCACAGCTATTGGAATGTTGAATTGGAGGAGTTTCAGCTGAGTTTTTCTATCAAAATACCAGTTTCCCATAACGATTCGCTCGCTCCGCTAATGATTGAACTCGCCAACGAGGCAACAAGATCGTAAAGATGCAACAAAATGTATTCAACGATCTTTTTTAAATGCACTTGAGACACTAGCTTTGATTCTACGTAGTATGTGTGAACTGGTTTGAAAAGTAGTTGACACAGATATGTGAAATAAAGAAATTCAGTACGAAGAGAAAAAACATGAAACACAATTGAAGGATGAAGGATAAAGCTCTGACGTTAATCATTCCTGTTCTTAACATATGCCCCCCCATTTGACGCATTTAGGTTCAGTCGGAATGGGCGGGAATCGAAAAGGGATTCGATCTCCAGACTATGTGTGCGTGAAAGTACTCTGGTTCCCACTACACTACCACAACCAAGAGTCGAAATACCTTCATTCAACAGTGTGGAGTGTGACAACTTTACTTGAATGATTTCCAACTCTGATTCGTCTGCAAGAACCAGTTCTCGTGTATTCAGAGCGAGAAGTTCAAAATCCGACACGGTGATGATGGACGCGAGCGCGGTGCCACTATTTGGATTTTTAATTATAATTTGGAAAGATTTGCCAAGATCGCACCTCGAAAGCTTTGACCTTCGAGATCTTTTCCTCGTTTGCATGCCTTCCTATTTGAGTGGTTTTTCCCAGTTCTACTCATCGAACTCGCGAAAATCGACTACTCCTTTGTGGTTTCCTGCACTAACGGTGCCGGATGCCGGATTGAATCACAGATGAATGATCTCATTTTTTGTGTAGGCCACATAGTTACAGAATATATTCTCTCGTCCTGTCCCGAGCGGTCAGGAACGTTTGCCAGCTTTGTGACTATGAGGGTTGTCTTCGAGGTAACGATTCCTGATACATTGGAACAACGAGAGATGCTGGTCGCTTGAAATCTTTGACGGAGCAAATCAACAACACAGTTAGGGCCTCTTCATTCACGAGAAACAGAATTTTTGTAATAGATGGAGTAAGAGTTTACAGTCGATAAGATAAAAACGAAAAAAAAA